GTGATGATACAAATTTTGCCAGGAAACTGCCTACTAATTGATATATTTGGTAAATTATCATATCGATCTGGCCTCGATAGATACCGTGAATGCACTTCAACGTTAAACATTTGGGCATATATTTCTGCTTTTTTGCGAATTTAGGTAGAAGTATTGTCATCTAAACCTCTGAAGGCAATATTTAAACAATATTCAATGGATATTTTGCACTCAAAACCCTTGAACCGCAATTTTACCACTACTGGTCTATATCTTTAACCTTGAATATCATAATACATGTATGTGTATATATTTATCTCCAGTCCATTCTGACAACAGATACCTTTACAAATCAGTTGTGCTATAGTCCTTGACAAAACTAAGCATGAAATTCACACTTACACAGTTCAATGACCATGTGGTATTAAAGTGGTATTTTCTGCTGGCATACAATTTCTTTTAGAACTTACTTGTCAGCCAATATGCCGTTGCATACAATAAGCATAGAAATTACCGGTATCTTTTTGAATGAAATTTGCTGGTTTGCTAAATTACACATTTCAATGACCATGTGGCGAGTGTTTTCTGCGGGCATACAATTTTGTTCAGAACTTACATGTCAGCCAATATGCTCTTGCATACAAAATGCATAAAAACTACAAGTATCTCTCGGATTGACTCGGAACGACCTTTACTGATTTGCTAAATTGGCCACAAGAGTTTAATGATCCTGATTCATGTCTGAATACAATTTTTTCAGGACTTACATGTACATACTGTAGGCCACTATATTGTTGCATACAAAATGCAGAGAAAATACAATTAATCTCTCAGAACGACCTTATCTGATTTGCTAAATTGGCCACAAGAGTCTAATTATCCTGATTCATGTCATGAGTACAGATTTCTGCTTAGATTTTTAAGCAATATGTCACTTTGCTACACCATCAGCATGTTTTAGTCCAGCACAGAATCATAAAAATCTTTTCATATCCCCTTGCTATCAATATTACCATTAAGGCCAGGCCTGTTCACATAACAAGGCCAGGCCTGTTCACATAACGAGGCGGTCAGCCAGTAAACTGCGGCATTTAATTTTTTCTTTGATTTATAGCATTAGCATAATTCACTTGACATTTCAATCTGATTGCAACACACAGAGATAATGCAGCGAGTACGCATATATTATGTAGGATCTTTTGTTGCGGGCAGTTATTTTTCTGTCATCCCCACTTCCCACTTATTTTTTTAACATAACATATTCCGCTGTAAAAACCATTGTTTTTATGTAGGTTCTTTTTGTTGCGGGAAGCTACTTTTTAAAATCATCCGCATTTTCCATAAATTTAGAAAATCAAACGTCGCTGTAAATCCCAGTGTTTTACCCCAGCATTAGTATGTCGAAGATTCTTTCCTATCCAATAGCTTTTATCAGAAAATCGTATGATCCCCACCTATATGTACTAGGGCTGATTGTCTGATTTTCTTATTGCTCACATTTCTCTAAATCTAACCAACCGACACTTTTGGACAACTTTTTCTTATATAAATTCAAATAATTAAATTCTTGATCATCGAAATCAAATTGTAGCATTTACTTGTAGGTATGTAGATGTTTGTCGTGGATTGTGAAAAGCATGATTTATCTTTTCATTTTGCATGCAGCTCAATGGGGTACATACATGTAGGGTATATCATCTTTCAGAGCCAAAAGAGGGTTAAATCTGTGTTATAGTATATGAGTTAATGCCCTTCCCGCTCCGAACCGTACAGTGTTTATGGGATTTTAGAGTACATGTATGCCGCGCATGATTTTGTTTGTGGATTAGTGGATTCGGCCTTGCCATTGAGTAACCTAGCTAACTGGGGCACATGAGATGTGAGGCCTTAATTTCTGAATCCATTTATCAATAATTTCCCCAAGGCCCATGCATAGTCTCGATATAGATGGAGGCAAATTGTTTTATTTCAAATGTATGCCGATCCGATAATGTCTGATTGCGGCATGTAATTGAATTGCAAGCAGATTTAGAGGGGATTAGGCAGAGAGAGAGAGAGAGAGAGAGATATATATACCGTATATATATATATATATATATATATATATATATATAGAGAGAGAGAGAGAGAGAGAGAGTGAGATATATATATATATATATATATATATATAGAGAGAAAAGAGAGAGAGAGAGAGAGAGAGAGAGAGAGAGAGAGAGAAGAGAGAGAGAGAGAGGACGATGTCTGATTGCGGCATGTAATTGAATTGCAAGCAGATTTAGAGGGGATTAGGCAGAGAGAGAGAGAGAGAGATAGGGAGAGAGGGGGGGGGGGGGAGAGATCAAGGGCGGGAGGAAGGGGGAAGGGGGAGGAGAGAGAGAGAGAGATAGAGAGAGAATGAAAGAGAGAGAGAGAGAGATAGAGGGAGCGAATGAAAGAGATAGTGTGACAAAGAAAAAAAGAGAAATAAAAAGAGAGAGAAAGATAAATAAAGAGAAGAGAAAAGTGGAGAGATAGAATGCATAAAGAGTGAGATGGAATCAGGAAAGGGGAACAGTCACATGTATAATGTACTTCACTACTACTACTACTACTACTACTACTACTACTGCTACTGCTACTGCTACTGCTACTACTACTGCTACTACTACTGCTGCTACTACTACTTCTACTACTACTACTACTACTACTGCTACTAATTATAAAAATAGTAACAATAACAACAGCCACTATAACGATAACGATAACACTAATTATAACTGAATTTATATATATATATAGTGGCTTTTCAAGCAGGTAAGAGATGTTTTCCATAACATTCAAAGGAAAAATTAAGAATAGCTACATGTATGTTTTCAGATGTTCTATGAAGAAGTCAAGTGAAATTAAATATAGATGTTTGACAAGAAACAATGTTTAGTAGTCAGCTAAAATAATTTTGTTTTGACGTAGCTGATACATGTACATGTACTTGTAAGTAAAACCATTTCAGAAACATGCAATGGTACATGCGTATGTGTACATGTACTTATCTGTGTGTTTAGTATAGTACTATAGATTGTATGTTGTCATTATAAATCAAAGGTACTTTTATTTTCTCTTCATGTGCGTGTACATGTACTTTCTTTGTTGTGAAACTAGTGAGGAATTATAGAGTATTTCCGTCAGTCTAACAGAAGCAGGAAGTGAACATGTAGACATTCTTCAATGTGTGTGATTTACCCAATGAATATATACATGTTGTAAAATACAACTACTTAACGTTACGCTACTAAATCGCTACATGTACGTAAAATATACAGTGGGTTCCCTCTTCATTATGTATTAGAGTGAACCCAATGTGTGTGTCTCATTCCCAGTGGCGCTGCGCAGGGCATGCTTAATGCACGAGATTTGAGCTTGCATGGTGTTGTGTACATAAACGTCCATTTGCACAGCGCATGGACATGAACACGCTCGTCGTTAAATGCTTGTTCCGTAGCGGCCGGTTCTATTTTTGTGTTATATATTATTATATGTGCGTGTATAACACTTGGTGTAGGCTTGTGCAGTGCAGGATGCAGTTTGCGTAATAAGCCATAGGTTAATGAATTCTATCCCCATCTCTCTCTCCTTTTCTCTCTCGTTATCACTCCATCTCTCTCTCTCTCTCTCTCTCTCGTTATCACTCCATCTCTCTCTCTTGTTATCACTCCATCTCTCTCCCTCTCTCTCTCTCTCTCGTTATCACTCCACCTCTCTCTCTCTCTCGTTATCACTCCACCTCTCTCTCTCTCTCTCGATATCACTGCCCATCTCTATCTCTCCTCTCTGTCTCTCTCTCTGTCTCTCTCTCTCTGTCTCTCTCTCTCTCATCATTCAGTCTCTCTCTCCCCCTCTCTCTTTCTCTCTCTTTCTCTCTCTTTCTCTCTCTTTCTCTCTCTTTCTCTCTCTCAGTCTCTTTCTCCCTCCCCCCCCCTCTCTTTCTCTCTTGCTTCATTCCGTCTCTCTCCCTCTTGGGCACTGAGTCTTTGTGAGGTCATTCCTGTATTGTCAAGTGAGGATCGCGTTACCATGACAACCGTGTTGTGCAATTTCGACCTATGTACGCACGTCGGTTGTCTCAAGGCAGAAATTTTCCTCTTCTACATAATTTGTGTCCAAGAGAGGGAAAAAGAGAACGGAATACAGGCATGGTTGGTGGAATATTGAATGAGATGAAGAAAAAAAATTCCATATTGAATTTTTCCAGTATTAAATTACATGATACTGTAGTCAATAGCTAAACCGAGTGATGTGCACACGTAGTGTAAAGCTCAGTCATGGGGATGGTGATGATGAAGATAATGCTGATGATGATGATGGTAATGATGATGATGATGGTGATGGTGATAGTGATGATGGTAATGGTGATGATGAAGATGAGGATGAAGATGACAGTGATGATGATGACAATGATGATGATGTTGAGGATGATGATTGCTATAAAGGTTTGATATTAGATCAGTATTTGAAAGATTAATTATGTTGATTGTAAACACATATTTTATGAATGTTATTATGTTGATCAGTTGAAGATGATCACAGACAAAATAATATGCCTCTTCAAAAATGATCAGAAATAAGGAAAATACGTATGAAGAAAATTGATATGGACTGATTTATTTTTTAAAGATTAAAAAAAAATTAAAGACAGTGTATTTCAGAATAGATTGTCTGTTCAGAGCCAGAATGGCATTAAATCTGTGTTAATGAAATAAATGATTTAACACCCTTCTGACGCCAAATAGATGATATGAAAATGGTGATCATGGATGAATGATCAATATGTCCTCTTTTCATGAATGTGATGATTGATTTACTTGTAAAAATTATGAAAAGCACAAAATGCATATTACATGTACATGTTTGCAACATAATATTTCTGTACACTTCAGAAATACAATATAATGATACATTTAAAGTAATGCAATATGTCCATAAGTTCTGCTGTTATTAATTTCAATAATTTCAATATCTCTTTTCTTTTCCCTTCTCTTTCGCAGGTTGCCATTTTAGTGAAGTATGTACAGAATCAGAAGACTGTACAGAAGGTGAGTAGAAACAAGTCCTATCTTCTGCTAAGAGCCAGAAAGGCATTGTAAGATATCATGGAGTATTAAATGCCCTTCTGGCTCCGAACAAATTATGTATCAATTCTGTTGAGAGCAAGAAGACCCATGAGTTAATTCACCTTTAAAGACCCACTGCACTACTTGTAGCTACTTGCGCCCTCTATATAACAATCAAAGCCTAATCGGTGACCATTGGTCCCCCATGATCCTCTTTTTCTTATGTTAACTGAGAGCGGAGTTGATGAGATAACCACCTGTCCAGTGACCTTGCAGAGCGCTCTAATCCCTCCTGTAAACTATGGCAGATAAGCTTTAAATAAGATACATAAAACTTGCCAAATGTGAACAAATGCTTCACCAAAGATTCTATAAACATTATTTTTTCATTGTAGATTGTGAACAACAAAATTATTCCACAATATTGAATGTTAAGGTTCGTGAAGCCATTGTTAATTTTAAAGAAGAACTTCTGCATTCCAACGTGGTACAATTTTAGCTATCAAACATTGAAAGTGCTTATTCTAGAACACAATTGTAAAAAATGTTGTACATGTTTTGGAAAGAATCTCACACGTTATTGTCCGGCTCTCTAAAGCATAGGCCACAATCCTACTCCCTAATTTTACTGGACGTGACAAATAATTTGTTTCCTTTACGTCACGACCGATTACCCGCCACCTACTAAATTATGCAAATCAGATTGAAAAGTGACCCTCACCTGCGCCCGAGCCGAGCCCTGCTTCGGCCGGCGAAAATCGCTAGCTTGACCTTTAGGTTGGTCGTAATCAATGACCGACGAGCTTAATTTGTACACATACACCGTTACTCTGCCTCACTACAGTTTATTGGCAAAGCGGAGCGCCACTGTGATGTAATTTGTATGGGTGGTTGGAAATGGGTAGTAAAAGGGAAGGGTGGCGGGAACAAAATTAGGCAATAAAGCTACATGTCTCCCTATGAATATAAAATAACCCCAGAGGCCGTGAGATGCTTTGGTACTTCTTTTGCGGTCAATTTCGACGGTTGTGACTGGAATCGAGTGTAGCCTGGCGTAATAAAAATGCAGACGGGGAAATTTAGGGTCTAATTTGGAGGTTGATCTGGTATTATATGGATGAGCAGTTTAGAGTGGGTTACAATTGGTAATGAGTATGACTATGATTTGCCAAGGTTCTTTGATATGAAAGTATTTCATATGAAGTCACTCTCAATTTTTATGGGTGAGGTGTTGTGACACAAAAGTAACGCTGAATGGAATTCTTGCCTTAAACATGGGTATACATATTACATTCACACCTGTATGCTGTTCTTTTAAATGTGATAAAATAAATTTAACTACGGTAGTCAGAAAATGTATTTATCAAATTATTTGGGCATGAAGTATTGTACAGTGTACTCACAAACATGAAGTCTACTGTATATTTACACAGTACTGTGTGCAATCGTTCTCTATAATTTTAATCAGAAAAAAAAGTTAAATTTGGAAATTTCCTGAAGTTATGTTTTGCAGGTTACATTCAATTCAGATATTAATAACATGATATAAATCTAATAAATATTAGCAGACTATCACATGTATGTGAAATGTAACATTATAACATCTTATTTACTGGTAATACATACAGTTACATATAAATTCATGTATACATGAACACACACGTGTATGTTTCAGTCTTTTTTGTCCAAATGTGTTATCAATAAGAACAACTGTATGAAAAATATTATCGAAATTGAAATTGAAACCCAACGCTGGGTTTACAAATGTAGGTTTTTGTTCAGAGTCCGGTTGAATGAAGGAAGTTTGTCTGAATTTTCCTTTGATTAAACTTGAGTGTAGACCCAGTGTTGGGTTTCACTTAAATTGTAGAATACGGACCTCTGTCTCGAAAGAGACAGAAAGCCATTAGTTCATACCTCTTTATGGTGTGTTTGAAGTTCACCGCACACTATACAATTTTCCTGGGATCCAATTTTCGAAGAAATAGGAATTGTATTACATGTAGATATAGAAATCTAAACAAAGATATCTTCCTGATTTAGGTTCTAAATTATAATTAGTATGCTAACAACAAGAAATTTAGTGCATTTAAGCTTTTAGTCAGAATAAAAGCTGAATCAGATTCAAATTGTAGATAATTGCACTCATGGTGTGACAAATTTGGAAGCGCATAGAGACCTTGAAATGTGATATGCGCTATACAAGAACCGAATATTATTATTATTATCACTACAATTCTGAGCCGAGATTTAGCTATTCCACTTCCAAGGAAGTGTGAAATCCAATGAAATTTTCATTTTATCAAACATGACTATTCAAATCATTGATCATTAAGAATTAAGAAGTTTGAATGATCATGTCAAATGGTATTACAAATTTCCAAAAGCGAGTAGTAGTCAGATCGTATGGGCTTCAAATGCCTCTCAGATCAAAGTCTCATACAATAGACCAGGTCACAGTTAGCACATGTCCCAAATGACCCTGAATATCCACAGATCTTCAAGACATGAAGAGGTCCCACTTTGTATATTCTGAAATAATCACTCCTAGAGCGCTGCAGGGGCTTCATAAATAGCCTTTGTTTCCTCTTCAAAGAATACTTCCCCCTGTGTATCATGGAGTGCACTGCTTGTGCATAAATGAATAATAATAACATAACTGTCATGAGCACGTATCCAGTATTTTGTCTCCGTGTAGTTCACTATTTGGTCTGCAATGACCTTTATCTGCTCATGCTCAGACTGCAACTATGAACGGGCTTATACTGTATGCAGTAGGTTAACATCTACAGTAGATCCTGTAATGTATCAGGGGGGTGTTCCACAAAGATCCTAAGTTAAACTTAACTCTAAGTTGGACTTAAACATCATAGAGAGCCATTTATAGCCTTGAAATAAAATAAATTTAAAAGCAAAAATTCAGGTAATTTAGACTTTTCATGATTTCCACATCGAGAACTTAAAATCTCTTCGATAATAGAAAACATGAATAATTTTAATCATCTTTTTATGCCTTTTAAACTAACTTTTACAAAGTATTTTCATAGATGCTAACGGCTTTCCATAATTGTTAAGTCCAACTTAGAGATAAGATCAACTTAGGATCTTTGTGAAACAACTTCCTGATCTTTGCAGCCACTGCATTTAGGATGATATACTTCAAACATTTATTACCCCTACTTTGGATCTTGTTTGCATTCCAATATAAAATTTTCTGTTCACAGTGAGCTTTTCTCAGGGTTTTTAAAATATCACAAAAGTGCCCAACTTGTTTTAGGGGGGGGGGGGTGCAATTTTTTTAAATTTTGCTTCATATTTTGCTTCGGGTTTTGTAAAGATATCACAGATTTTTTATATCATTACATCTTGATCTAAATCGTTTAAGCTGCTTTAGTTTTCTTTCTTTTTACATTGATGCAGTCATGTGTAGCATACTGTAAACGTATTGGGGGGGGGGGGGGAGGGGCGTGAAACGATTTTCATAATGCTCTGTGGGTTTTTGGTTTTTGTTCTTTTTCCTGAGACCTTTTTGAGATCCCACAACCTTTCATTATCACTGTGTAGCTATTGAGATATGAATTGCTTCCAGTTTTCAATTTATATTCATGTGCTGCATAATACAACAGTCATTGGTGGAGGGGCAGGAGGAGGTGATGGGCAATTTTCATAATGCTCTGTTTTTATTTTGTTTGTTTTGTTTGTTTTTGAGAAGGATCCCACAACTTTTTAGTATATCACTGTACTAGCTATTAAAGCTTATCTGCCGTAGTTTACAGGAGGGATTAGACTGCCCTGCAAGGTCACTGGACAGGTGGTTATCTCATCAACTCAGCTCTCAGTTAACATAAGAAAAAGAGGATTATGGGGGACCAATGGTCACCGATTAGGCATTGTTTGTTATATAGAGGGCGCAAGTAGCTACAAGTAGTGCAGTGGGCCTTTAAGATGTAAAACACTCTATCCTTTACATTTTTGTAAACTGGATGAATTTATGTATTGTGTAATATACAGTCAAACCTGCTTTATTGACCACCTGTCTACAAAGACCACCGGTCTACAAGGACCAAATTTTTGTTTCCCTTGAAAATGGTTTCTCATTGAAACATGTACTAAAGGAACCTGTTTACAAAGACCCCCTGTCTACAAAGACCACTTTTTGTGTTTCCCTTGGGCGGTCGCTATAGACAGGTTTGACTGTACATGCAATAGTACAACACCCTCCTAATCTGATACATAGAAGTCTTCTGCAAAGTACAAAAACCTTAATTTAAAAGGTAGACTACAAAAACTTCTATGAATACCATATATTATACCTGTTTGATTTATAGTTCTCTTTTCTTCTTTATGTTTTATCCTATCCATGTTGTACTTTGGCACATATATATATATATATATGTTTAGTGCTTTTATGTGATTTTTTAAAATCTTTAGCACTATTGAGCATTTAATTTCAAGTGGACTTTAGGCCTTGTAAATCATGTGTTTTGTTATTATGATCAGATGAAGTGTCTTTAAGCTATTTAGTAGTCAGCAAACGTTTTACATTTCGTGAGTATGAAGAAGGGAATTCATGTACTCATCTTAAATGTGTTTTTCTCTCTATTTTTTTTTGCAGATAATTTATTTGGATCATGTGTAAATTCTGGCTCTGTGTCCCTCCCCTTTTACGATGTAAGCCGAGATGGCTTCCGTGACCTCAAGATTGTTATCCGATTTCTCTTGGATCGAGGATACCAATGGAGAGATGAAGCGGCACAGGTAACTCAATGTTTTTTTAAAGAGAAAATTTAATTCCTGTGAAGATGAAGAATAATTTGCTTCAGACCTTCATGTGCAAAAATGTGCATGGTTAGTCGTGACCATGGCATTATATGTGTAGCAATAGTGGATTTAAAGGCATTGTATAACAATGTGAAATCTGAGATGCATGGCGCTTTGTGTTATCCGTGTCTGTGATATGGATTAATATTGAAGCCCTACAAAAATTGTTATTCAAAATGATCATGAAGTGCATCAAAAAAGTTTTTAAAAATTGAGTGACCGGTTTTACTATACTCATTTTCTCCAATAGACTGTAGTGATAATCAGACAGGCGAATAAATAATGAAGTGAACAAAGTATTGCTTTAGATTAGAATTGGAATTTTCAAGCTGGATTAATCGTCATGAGGTTCCTGACTGACCTAAAGGTTTAAAATTATGATTGCAGCATGAGCTAAATCCAGGATTTTAAAAAAAATCTTAGACAAAGATACCGAAGCCCTTTGATAAAGAGATGTCATACAAACAAGTGATGTAATGTATATGGCTTCATTGGTGTATAGGGTTTCCATTTCGTCAGAAAACAAAGGTTTCCTCTCTCTTAAAAAGAAAAACAATTAGTAGAACGAAGGATGATGAGTTCATTAGCTTGTTTGCAGTGAAATTATTGTTGATGTAATAAAATAGATTACAAAGTACACAGGACAAGCTGCTTCTAAAGCTTCCTCACACACACACACACACACACACACACAAAGAGTAACTCTTGGAGATTGGAAGGAAGGAAGGAAGGAAGGAAGGAGAGAAAGAGTGGAAGAGGAGAGAGTGGAAGAGGAAAGAGAATAGAGCTGGGAAGGGGAGAGAAACAAAAAGAGGAAGATAGATAGAGGAAGAGGAGAGTGAGAAAAAGGAATTTAGGGGAAAAGAGAGGAGAATGAAGGCGAGAGAGAGAGAGAGAGAGAGAGAGATAGAGAGAGAGAGAGAGAGAGGGGGGAGAGAAGTGAATAAAAGAGAGAGGAAAAGAAAGAAAGAAAGAGAGATCAATGGAATGCACAATGATTAGAAATCTTGGAAATCTAACCACCATCTTTTCCAGCTGTAAAGACTGCAGCAGAAAAACAAAACCAAAATAAATTGGCCCTATGAGAGGCACAGCACACTGGTGTTATTCAGTAGCTCGTTGCCTATGAACAATGACGTCGATACTTCGTGAAGTACATCCCAAAGACCGTCCGGGTAATTCATATTTCTGCCGCCTCAGCTAGCTTTCAAACGTGTCGTGCATATTCCTTCAAATTTGATTTTGAAAACATATCTTGCACTTAACCAGCAGCAGGAAACCATGGCGATAATTATGTTATTTTTTTTCTTCAAGAGTAAAATGGTAGTGCGGTATTCCTTGTCCTTCTTCTCCCATCTTATAATCCCGGAGATGGAGAAAGAAAAGAGAGGTGTATATTTAGAACAGATCGTATCTGTTTTCCGATGCACTGCATGATGGATTGAGAATAACCTGTGGTGGGCGATCAATTCCACTTACGTCAGACTGGAATTCTCTGCATAAAAGATGAATTGTATCTTTCAAATTCTTGACAAGAATAACTGAAGGCGTTTGCGAGATCGATGTTTGAACATCTGTACATGTTTATATGAGGTGCTTCATATTTACAGCATGCCCAATTGATATTAGAATATGCAGAAATGAAAAGGACATTTATTTGATAACTCATTTATAAGGAGCACCTTTATTATCGTAGTGCATATAATCATTTTCTTTTCCTCATGGGTCTACCCACATAAAACATAATAAAGCAAACAAGTACATGTATATTTTAGCTAAAAAGCAGCTAAGCATTTTTTTGTCACCTTCATTGAATAATGAAATATATTTCAATCAAATCTATTTGGAGAGTGCAAATTGTTTACACTGATATACAAATATGAATAATATATGATTATCAATCAATGGAATTTTGAGAATGAACATCGTTTACAGTTTGTTAAATATACATTAATTCCAAAGGAAACGTTATGGCCAGAGTGCCCATTTTAGCGAAGTAAATTTTCTGCGCATACAGGTAACTGCAACACACAACAAACACATACTCTTTTAATCTATTTTAGTGATACCTATTTGTGCAAAAAACAGAAACTGAAGAGAAAAGTCTAATTCAAGTAATTTTATTTACAAGCCACAAAAATGTCATCAGTGACAAATGACAGTTTTTGTTATTAGCTAGCGAATCCCTGCTCCTGATTGGTTATCAGCAGATTCGTCACTGATTTTGTCATTTGTCATTGTGAAATGGGGGTGTTTCACAAAGACTAAGATCGACTTTTAGTTGGACTTAACTATGGCAGGCCGTTCATGCCACTGGTAGCTCTCAGCATTATGATCTTTAGATAATATATTTTCCTTCAATACTGAATTATCAGAAAATGTAAAGTCTGTAGATTTGTAAGTCCCTTGAGAAACCAATGCCATTAGATGGTGAAAGCAAACAGTGGCATGAACGGCCCGTCATAGTTAAGTCCAACTTAAAGTTCATCTTAGTCGTGAAACAGGCCCCTGAATGTTATCTTGGGAAGATGTGAAACAGTTTTTAATGCATTAACCTGGGGGTGTTTAACAAAACTTGTTATCAGTGACAAATGACAGCTGTTGTTATAAGCTACTGAAATCCTTGCTTTTGATTGGTTATCAGCAGATTTGTCACTGATTTTTGTCATTTGTCATTGAAAAAGGCTCTGTGAAACAGGTCCCAGGGAGGCGTTTCACAAAACTTGTCATCAGTGACAAATGACAGTTTTTGTTACAAGCTACTGAAATTCTTGCTTCTTATTGGTTATCAGCAGATTTGTCACTGATTTTTGTCATTTGTCATTGAAAAAAGACTTTGTGAAACAGGTCGCTGAATGTTATCTCGGGAAGATGTGAAACAATTTTTGATGCATTTTAAAACCTAAATTTTACTCTATGAAGCGTTTGAATGTTGAAACACTATCATTTATGTATAATTACATAAACATGTACAGTTTGTATGTACACCAGTGATGCACAAGACACATTTCAATTCAATTCAATTCAAGGTATTTTGTTCACTCATTGTAGCCATAGGCTAAATTAGAAATGAATTTACAGAATTTGAAACATTAAAACATTATACATATTAAGAAGAATCATACATAATATTCTAGAAATACATACAAATACAAATGCAAGGAACTATACAGTTGTATTTGTATGTATTTCTAGAATATTGTGTATGATCCTTTTCAATTTGTATGATGTTTTTAATGTTTTAAATTCTGGATACAAGTTTGGTTTGATGGTTTGTTTTACTTCACTGCTAAGAAAGCATGTGTATCCTTGTAAGTAAGCAACCACCAGTACATGCATATGTACACTATAGTTTAATAGTGTGTGTGGATTTGGGTGAATGGATTTTAATTAAAAAAACGTTTTAATAGTTAATTGTTTGCTTAGCCAAGCATATCACACACCACTCACTGCACAGTATGTTTAAGGAAATACGTAACCAACCCCCCCCCCCCCCCCGATACACCTGATGCAAGTACATGTGAATCGAAAAAGAGGCAAGCGAAAATTTGGCCAATATATTCAGAATTCCAACATTTTATATGTAAATCTGGATAATTTCAGGAAAAAAGATATAAAGTAAACACAAAGTTCAATGACAAGTTCTTTTACATGAAACCAAATTTAGAAAGGATGCTCACAATTGTCCCATACCAGAACTCAATATTGTAACAACAAAATTATTAAAAAAAATCATTCTTTTAAAGGACTGTGCTACAGTACATGTATCTGTTCTGCTGTGATTCCACTTTTCGGTCACATACATGTATCATCCATGAGAATAATAATAACTATAAATATTGAATAAGTTGGTAGAATATATATCGGAAAGTTATTATATATAATTCTTATAAAAACAATTAATGTTAATGATTTATGAGCCTTTACAAATTTCTATATTCATATGTAGTCATGTTCACATATGCGGCAATATACCACTGTGGATAACCGTGCAGGTTTTTTAAGCAAACTGCATTCTACTGTTTTGTATCGTATTGCCCACAGATAAACTGGATGCGGGAGAGAATCATTGTTGCATGCAGCAAATTTTTGATTTCCTCTTGCTTTTCATTTAGTACAAAAAACTTCTTTTGTTTATCACGGTTTTAAAAAAATATGTTAAAATGCCTTTTTCACTGCTGTCAAGCCTCGTTCAGATATGAAGTGGCATACTGCGGCTTTTATTTAAATGATGATTTAAAGTGTAATACACTTCACATTTCTGTATCTCATAACACAGAGTTCAGTGAATGTGCATAGAACGATTTGTCACGCAAAGTTGGCATTCATTTCCTCTAAAAAAAAAAAAAAATGGGGGAGGGAGAAGAGAGAGACAGAGACAGAGAGAGAGAGAGAGAGAGAGAGAGAGACAGAGACATAGACAGAGAGAGACAGAGACAGAGATAGAGACAGAGACAGACAGACAGACAGACAGACATATGTAGAGAGAGACAAAGAGAGAGAGAGACAGAGAGAGAGAGACAGAGGGAGAGACAGAGAGAGAGAGAGAGATACAGAGAGAGAGAGACAGAGAGACAGAGACAGAGAGATTGAGAGAGAGAATTCATCGCGACATATCTGAACGAGCCACTCCAGATGTGACCGGCCCTTTAAAGTGGATGTGAGGTACCATCTTTGACCTTCTTCTCTCTCTCTCTTTTTGTTTCCTTTCTTGGAAGTTTGAAAGTTATTAGGATTCATGGCCCGTAGAAAGCGATGCCCCAATTCCTCCCCCGTGTAAGGGTTCTTCTCATATATATCTCTAATATAAGACTGTGGAGGGAGAAATGAAAGCCCTGTGGTCACTTGATTATTGCACGCACACGCAGGCGTTTGTGTGGTCACTGGATAGCAGTTGAAAGCAGGGGGGGTGGTGGTAGAATATGATAGATAAAGACGGAGGGAGGGAAAGGGAGGGAGAAAGAGAGAGAGAGAGAGAGAGAGAGAGAGAGAGATGGAAGAACAGAAATGGAGAAGGGGGTGGCATGAATGAGGGTGGTAGATAAGAGTGATATATACATGCATAGAGAGAGAGGGTGAGAGAGAGAGAGAGAGAGGAGCAGAGATGATTAGAGAGGGAGAAAGGGGAGAGAAATAGGAGAGGGAGATATTGAGAAGATGTTTAGAAGTAAGAGAGAGATGAGAAAGACAGAGAGCACGAGGGAGAAAGAGAGAGAGGGGAAGAATGAGAGAAAGAGCCAAAAGAGGAATGGAGAGAGGGAGAGAGAATAATGTTCAAGTATTTAGTAGTATGTACATGTAGCTATACACATAGATGAGAGATTTAGTAGAGGAGCATCCTTCACTTTCATCTCAGATCCTCATCTGAAGAGTGAAAATAAATCCAGCAAGAGAAAGAGAGAGAGAGAGAGAGAGAAAAAAAAAGAGAGATAGATAGAGAGAGAGAGGAGAGAGAAAGAGAGATAGATAGAGAGAGAGAGGAGAGAGAAAGAGAGATAGATAGATAGAGAGAGAGAGAGAGAGAACGAGAGACACCAAGAGAAAACACCATCCCAACTATTCTCGTTTGTAGCACAGATGAGAGATTAGCAGAGAAGCATCCTTCACTTTCATCTCTTATCCTCATCTGAAGAGAGAAAGAGAGAGAGTGAGAGAGAGAGCTAGAGAGAGAAAGGAGAGAGACCAAGAGAAAACCACCCAACTCATCTATAGTTTGTAGCATACTGAGTAGATGAAAGATTAGCAGAGAAGCATCCTTCACTTTCATCTCTGATCCTCATCCGAGGATGGAAGGGGGTCTAACGTTACACCTCTCGGGCTGATTTCTGCCTCTGGAAAGATGAGACGGCTCCCACTCAACCTCTAAGCGGAACGGAGCAGGATTTAGCATAGGAATTAACCCTGTGCACTTCTCAAGCAAATATTTAGGAATAAACAAAATGTAGAGGAACTTGAAAGCATAACTACATGTAGTATGACTTTTTCCTCATGAATGCTACAGCTGTGGGCATGAACTACATGTACATGTATTTCTTTTCCCCAGCACATAAATTTAAATAAATTTATGGCAAAATATTGGTGTTTTGATTGGGGGATTTCATTGCATTAATTGTCTTGAGTCTGAACTACTTCAACAAATTGTGAAAGTTTCCGGCTTTTGTGATATGTCCTCTTTTAGTGACCCAATATTTGTTCGAGGAAGATTTGCTCCGGGCTTTATTTCATCAAAGATACAGGGTTAGGGGCCCAATTGAGTTTTGTGATACATCAGGTTTGGGGTAACTAGGTAAAGACTTGGGCCCTGTTTCATAAAACTCTTAATCAATGACAAGATAGGATAACTGTTATAAGCTACTGAAATCCTTTCATTTGATTGGCTATGGGCAGATTTGACATAGATGTGTGGCATATGTTTATATTGATAACAAGTTTTATGAAACAGGGCCCAGGGTTGAAGTAAATGGTCCAGGAGTGAAGTTATGAATTCAGTGAGAGTAAGAAATCCACCATAGAAACGGTAGAGCAATTTTCTCTCGGGAAAGAGGTGTCGTGGCCGAGTGGATATGTCACCTGACTGTGGATCACAAGGTCCGCGGTTCGAGTCCCTCCGCGGCACTAATGTCCTTTGGCAAGGTATTAATCTACATTTGCCACACTTGACCCAGGTAAGGTAAACGGGTACCTAGTAGGATTATTCCTTGAAATGCACTGTGCGCTGATTACGGCTGATAGAGCTAAAGCTAGGGTAATAATTTTGAAAGCTCTTTGGAGGCGCATAGAGACGTATGCGCTATACAAGAACCGAGTATTACTAATATGTAGAAACCTCCTCTTTTCACTGTTTCTTTTTCCTTTGTCCAACCCGTAGAAAACCCTGGAGACCATCTTGGGCCAGTACCGCATGGAGTATGTGGATGCCGAGATGGAGCTAGAGGCCAACTACCAGAGGGAACAACAGCTGGAGGCCCTGGAGCAGATGGCCGCTCAGTATGGGAGCCTCTTCTTCAACAGGAAGACCAACGACAGGCTTGAGGAAGAAGAAGAAATGGTAGGTGGAGAGAGAGGAGGAAAGGATAGGTGGTTAAATTAAAAGCCATGTTGATAGGGAGGTATCATGGTATAGTGGTTCATTCACTTGACTTTTAATCTAGGGGTTCAGGGTTCAAATTCCAGGTCAGACTCGGGTTCCATACATCAACTTTTTTATCCTTTATTTCTTCATACTTTTTAACCGTGAACCTATAGATTGCCAGGTTATGTTTGAGGATTCTTTTATACATTGTAGCTGTACACAAATGATATTTTAGGTGATTGATACACTTTGATTCTTCTTTTGTATTGCTCCATGTGGTGCCAGGCACTTACCTTATAGACACAAAACAGTATAAAGTTTTGCACATCTCACCTAACCTTTGACCCTCTCGCCCAATATTTGACCTTCTCACCCAACCTTTGACCCTCTTACGCAACCTTTGACCCTCTCACTCAACCTTTGACCCTCTCACTCAACCTTTGACCCTCTCACCCAACCTTCGATCCTCTCACTCATCCTTTGATCCTCTCATCCAACCTTTGACCCCCTTACCCAACCTTTGACCCTCTCACCCAACCTTTGACCCTCTCTTACCCTTCCAGTCACGAAATTACGGTCCTGCGTACTACACCGAGGAGGAGAAGAGAAGATACATCCCCGAAAACAAGGTAGCTAGGGGGACCAGCAGGGATGAGTTGGAGGATTTAATACAGGAGTACGTGCAAGCCATCAAAGATTCGACCCCCAGGGAGAAGGAGGAAGAAGTGAATTGGATGTATCACGAGTATTACCAGAAATACCTGGATCTCCTGGAGCAGTATAGAGCTATGGAAAGGGCAGCAGAGAATGAGTAAGCTAAAAGATCATTTTTTTTCTTCAACATGACTTCATTTGAAATGACGAAATATATAACTTCCTGGGCCCCATTTCACAAAACTTGTCATCAGTGACAAATGATTGTTTTTTTATAAGCTAGTGAAATCCTCGCTTCTGATTGGTTATCAGCAGATTTGTCACTGATTTTTGTCATTTGTCATTGAAAGAAGGCTTTGTGAAACGGTCCCAGGAGTGGTTCCTATCCCACTGCTGCCATCCAAATATGCAGTCTCCTTAATATCCTTGTGGTCTAAATCTCTGCAGTAGAAAAGTGTTTTATTCGTATATGAATGTACAAAGCATCAAGCTATATGCAAAAGACAGCAGATATTGAGTAGAATGTAGCACTATTTTTCTGTGTCGAACACTAGTCTCCATTTGAAATGAGGAGTTTTAATCAACATCTTTACAATTTCATTCTAATGTACATGCTCAATCATACAAAGAAAGATGATAAATGTGGTTTGCGATTGATGTTCGGAACACTTTTCATATCGGATAGTATCAATTTAAGAGGTAAACTGTAACTTTAACAATTCTGTGCAGAACTGGGAACTACTGTATTTAGATATTTCATGAATTCTATCTCTCTAGAGTCTAGATAACTATTAGTTTTATGTGCCATTATGTATATTTCATTGTGCAAAGTAATTTTAATTGATTACATAGCATACTGCGTTTAATTTCATACAATGTTTCTGATGGGATCAATATGCTGTTGTTGTTGATTTAGATTTCAAGTCATGAGGTTATTTCAGCTTTCTTTTTGCCCCAAATGTCATCTTTGATTATAATGTCACAGTGATATCATTGTTGGTTCCAAGTAATCTTTGTCAAATCTACTGTGACTCCCATCAAGAACTGGCAGGGATGTAAAATTGAGCGCATCTTTACCCACCTTTTATAGAGACGGACCCATCTTCTGCAAAGCTCTGTGAGCAGAGAAAATATGGGAGCGTGCTTAATCATTGATTTCATTGTGTGCCAGAGAAAATGGTAAATATTGGAATCCAAGAACGGACAACAAAAATGTTTGATTACTTTTTGTTATGGTGCTTCCTAAAGGTTGGCAGAAGGAGAGGAATACGGGGAGGAGAGCACTGATTACTATGCAGAGGTTCAGGACAAACTTGACTACTTAAAACAGTACTTAGAGGAGATATACCAAGGGGAGGTGGAGGAGGAGGAAGAAGAGGAGGAAGAGGAGGCACGAATGGAAGGAAGCGATGAAGGGATGATGGAGGGAGGGATGAGCCAAAGTTCGAGTAGCTGGTGGGATGCTAGCAGTAGTAGCATCAGCGAAGGAGGAGTGGAAGAGATCTTGGCAGAAGGTAAGGAGGGTTGTTCACAAAGAGATGATGATGATGATGATGGTGGTGAAGATGATGATGATGATGATGATGATGATGATGATGGTGATGATGATGATGATGATGATGATGATGATGATGATGATAATGGTGGTGGTGGTGATAATGAATAAAATAATATATATATATATTTAAAACAAATTTGGTCTATGTAGAAAATGTTCCATGTTCTCTGCTTTATGCTAATTATATAAGCTGTAAGTAGTGATTTTCTCATATCCTAGTACTTTCCTACATACACAGGTTTTCTTGTTATTGTATCATGATCAAATTGTTGATGTATGATGAGCGCTGTACGATCTTGAAAGCTCATCACAATTGAGCACGTAGCCCTGATTTGCAAGCTATATTACATGTTCAGTAGTAGAATGCCCTTTTACCCCTCTCATCCACCCCCCTCAACTCCCATGATTTCAAGATGAGCTAATGGTTCATCCACCCCTCCCAACTCCCATGTTTTCAAGATGAGCTAATGGATTAACCATCTAACGAGATAATAATTGCATTGTGCCAATAAATACCATGCAACTACTTGACCGTGCCCTCACCCTCTCTCCTACATCCATTTGAAATCCAGCAGGAATTGACCGCCTGGCCGTCCAGCTCATCAACAACGAGCTCATCCCCCAGATGACCCCTCAGGAGCAGGACCAGTGGAAGCGCCTCAACGAGGAGGAGAAGGAGGGCATCATCCAGGAAGCTCTCCAGGCTATCGACTGGGTCGCCATGGAGATGGAGGCGGAGGATGAGAAGGGAGGAGGAGGGGTCCAGAGGGAGATGGTTGCCGAGGCGATGAAGGGGGAAGAAGAGGAGGAGGAGGCCGAAGTGGAGGAGGCGGAGGTGGAGGAGGAGGAAGCGATTGAAGCGGCGATGAAGGACGGAGAGTGGCTTAATGAAGGTAATTATCACTGGGTGTGATGGTGATGATGATGACGATGATGATGATGATGATGATGATGATGATGATGATGATGATGATGATGATGATGATGATGATGATGATGATGATGATGATGATGATGATGATGATGATGATGATACGAGGAATAAAAATACACTGACAGAAATGGACTGGAAGATAAGCCGTGTTTGATTTGAAAGAGATTCAAATTTATCAGATATCAGGATGTTTCAACAGTAATATGATGTTTATCATAGCTTATTGTATTTTCTTTAAAATAAATTATGCATTCATTAATTGAAATCGATTAAAGGGTAATCCTTTCAAAATATAATGAACCTCAATGGAATTGGCACTTAGCATTTGTTGGCAAATAATCTATTTAGATTAGCTTATGTTATTCAACCCTTAATTTACATAATACTAGTTATTTGCAAAATTTGTACAGTGCATGCATTCACCTATCCTAGTCAAGCATCGCTTGTGATTGCAGACTCCTGCACTTTTTTAACAGATAGTTTGGATAATACGTTAAATTTATAATAATATGTTATAGAAATATTAAGTTTCGTTATTCTTTGTACATATGTAAAAACACATTTTGACATTTTACCTTACGTTTGTATGTTCTTTGTTATTCTGCTATTATATTTGGAAAAATGTAGAAATCAAATCAAATCAAAGTTAAAAGAGTAAAAAGTTGCAGAACCAGTGAATCTATACTCTATCAAATCTTCTGCTTGATATTGGTAATTCTCTTTCCTATTTACTGGATATAGACAATACTAAACTGTTTAACTCAGATTCTAAAGTACAGATTATTGACAAATTACAGAACTCAAAGGAAAACTATATATATACGTTTATATCATTTAGTGCTAGATAGTACATTTTGGTGCAGTTCATATTATGTCTCTTATTAGAGGGAAAAAAAAGCTTCACACCAGCTTACATGTAGATTGTGAATATCTGACAAAGAATATATGTCAACAAATTTGTTTGGGGCAAGTACAGATACAAAGCAGGGCTAGAGCAAAATTATCCCACCCTCTACAAGTAGCAGGACTGGGCAGGAAAATGGTAACTGGTAGCCTATTGGTTTTTATTTTTGGGGCATGAAGGAACAGCTCCCTTAATGGTCTCGTTTTGAGATGTAAAAAGGATGTGTTGAGGATACCAGTGCTTGCTTCCAATGGAGATGTGTATCTCCGTCGGCATCGGCGTACTTTGCATTCTCTTGCATAATAAGTTTGCCAAGCAGAGCGTACGAGCACTTAACAATTTAAACCATCATAAGAAGAAGATGGCAGGTGCATTGCCATGGCAACCGGCATAGATACGGGGGCTTGAGGGGAGGCGTACTCTCAAAACACTTCCGTTATTAGGTATCTTCTTCACACTGGTAGGGAGTGCAGTGACTTGAGGTTTACACATCATTAGCATATGATTACATCAGGGGAGTGTTTCACAAAGACTTAAAAAGAGGCAAATAGTATGTTTACCTTTAAGAAGAATCTGCTCTTTTATAGACCACGTTTGGGTAATTCTGAATAGAGATCATGAGAGACATTTTCAGATGTTTAACGAATCTGTAATGAAAGATACCAGGAACGGAAATGAAAGAGACAAAGAATAAACTGACTTACAAAATATACAAATAAAAAATAGGCTGATGTATGAAAAGAAGCCGCTCTTTTTACTGGAGGTTTATAGACCATATTGTGGTGATTAACGAAATAGAGATCATGATACAATGTCAAATCTTTAACGAATCTGTGATAAAAGATACCAGGAACGGAAATGAAAGAGACAAAGTGTAGACCGACTTTAGACTTTATAAAGAGGCAAATAGTAGGCTTACCTTTATACTGGATGTTTATAGACCAAGTTATGCTGATTAACGGAATAGAGATCATGAGAGACATTGTCAAATGTTTAATGAATCTGTGATAAAAGATACCAGGAACGGAAATAAAAGAGACATGTATAATAGGCTGACTTCCGACTTTAAAAAGATGCAAATAATAGGCTCACCTTTGAGAAGAAGCTGCTCATTGTACTGCAGATTTATAGACCAAGGTTTGGTGCTTGGGATGCATTTAACTTACTATAAAAACTATAGGATTCAGATCAAGCCGCCCGGAGAGGAGATTAACTCACAATGAGGAGAGGAAACGGAAATTGATAGTAAAATTTTTCATGTAACATCTTCGTCTCTTGAGAGGGGATGTGCCGAAAAAAGGTGGTTGTGTCTCCGACGTCTTCCTCGGGCGTTGACCTATCGCATGTGACCGGGCAGGCTATGTTCTCGTTTAGGGGATAACAACTTTGGCGCACCCTAGCGTGCATCGTTCATTAGGGTTTAAGCCACTTGCGCGTGTTGAATTACGAGTAAATTAGGGTTTGGCTTTATCCCCTGTAGCGGGTCTATTTTGGGGTTCATGGAGGGATGTTGGGAGAGTAGGTGTGGGGGGATGTTTTGTCAGCTCCGCTTGTTTGATGGGATGTGGAGGTGGCTGATGTATGGATCATGAGTGTGAGATCAGCAGAGATTGAAGGGATGGATTAGAGGAAGAAATAGAGAGGGAGAGAGCAAGAGCAAGAGCAATAGAGGGAGAGAGAGAGAGAGAGAGAGAGAGAGAGAGCAAGAGCAAGAGCAAGAGCAATAGAGGGAGAGAGAGCAAGAGCAAGAGCAAGAGCAGGAGCAAGAGCAATAGAGGGAGAGATAGAGAGAGAGAGAGAGAGAGAGAGGAAAAGAAAAGGAGAGATAGAGGGAAGGAGGAGAGTGAGTGAGTGGAGGAAGAGGGAGAAAGAGGGAGAGAAAGATAGGGGTAGAAAGGATGAGAGATAAAGAGAGAGAGACAAAAAGAGGGAGAGAATAGAAAGAAAGAAAAGAAGAGGAGAGATAAAGATAGACAAAAAGAAAGATGCAGGCACATATAGGAAGACACCAAAACAGATCATTGGTGACCAAAGGACCAATGAACAGGCAGTGAGAAAATAACTGGCACAGCATGGTAGTGATAGTATGTAAAAATCATAGTGTATGAGAGAGTGCAAGCGAGAAAAAAATAGGAGGAAGAGAAAAGTGGGTGGGTGGGGGGGGGGGGGGGGGGGGAGGGGAGGGTTGCTGAAAGGATATTTAAGATTTCTTTATAATACAAGGTGGAAGTGTAAAAAGATAGAAAAGAAAATGAATGAAAGCATATATCCATATCACATGCCGTCATCATCATTAGATATGAAACCACTTCTTAAATAGCTTTAGCAGGTTTTTTTCTTCTGCCTCCGATCCTGAATGGATGCATGCTTGTGCACATAGTGGTATAATTGCGTTACCAAGCTAAATGTAGGTGATAGAGGGTGGTTTAAAGGATATTTAAGATTTCTTTATAATACAAGGTGGAAGTGTAAAAAGATAGAAAAGAAAATGAATGAAAGCATATATTCATATCACATGTCGTCATCATCATTAGATATGAAACCACTTCTTAAATAGCTTCAGCAGGTTTTTTTTTCTCTGCCTCCGATCCTGAATGGATGCATGCCTGCGCACAGTGGTATAATTGGGTAACCAAGCGAGGGCCATTCAATCCCTCTCTATGCGCAGGAAGTGCATCCTACTGTGTGTGTTCTCCAACTAATTTGAATGACGTCAGTATAGGAGGCGGATTACGCATGTGCCTTTCTATCTGTAATTTCATCCCTCCCCCTCCCTCGCTCCCTCCCCCATCTTCCATCTTCCTGTCTCTCTCTTTTTCAACAACAACCTGAATGGATTCGTTTAATAACGTGCATATATGTGCCATTTTAAGCTCATGGAATCATGGTTAAACGTGGGTTGGAATATGATGTTATTTGATGACTTATGTCTGGTTGAATGACGTACTGGATGCGTAATTAGAGGTGTTTGCTTTTTGATGCAGAAATCAACCCTGCCTTCTGTAATTACTTTACCATTCAAATTCATTTATGATTATTGTTCTTAAACAAGATGGGCCGGAAGTGCGAGGGCTAATACGTATGTGATGTTTGCAGTGAGCTGTTGTTTTGAAATTGAAATTGAAAGGGTAGAGGGGAAGACAGTTGCAAGCATCCTTTTTTCAGACAGAATTGCTCCAAGTTAATTAAGGTCTGTAATTTAAATATAGAATCATTAGAATGTTATGTAAACTTGAAATCGTCACAAATTCTTATTCATAAATAATGATAATAATATGTCTTGTTTACCCAGGGTAGCCTCATCAGTATTAACACTGTTCTCCCTGAGGGCCCTGAAATCATATAATGCGATATACTGATTGAAAATTCTGATTGAAAAATAAATTGACATAATGGTAGTGCATTTTGCAATTGCATGTATGTTTCTGTGATATAATAGAGGGGTGGGTGGAGCACATACATAAACATTTAGGAGCCTCTGTTGTTTTTCTCTCTGAATTTTTTCACACCCACTTTCCATTCATTTATGCATGAAGTGTCTTTTATCTTGCCTCTATGCATTTTTGAGGTGGTGTATACAGTAGTTTGAACGAGACGTAATGAGAATATTTGTTTTCCTACATTGATGTGGGATGTGATCATCGCAATTCCATTAAAACAGCTTCCCTGGGAATTTAATCTATCTCCTTGTGTTACATGTAATTATCGTATTGGATCAAGGAATTTGTGGTCGATGGCGGTATTGCATGAATATTGTGATGGCCATTTTATATTAGTCCTGTGGCTTGTGTTCATAACGTCATTACAACGTCATTACAACCGCAAAGGAACTTAGTAGTAAACTTTCTCTTAAAGAGAGAATTCTAGAAATGTCAATTTGCGAAAGATCGGTGAATATAATTATTGATGATAATTGTGTCATTGGATTTAGAAAGCAATGCAAAGCATACCGTATGTGTGTGTTGGGGGGGGGGCAGACAGACAGTGATAGAGAGACAGAGAAAGAGAGATAGACCCCGACACACACACATAAACAAAGAGGCAGACAGACAGAC